GCTGGGGGCTTGACGTCTCACTCCAGCATATAGCGGGGTCTCACTTTGTCTCGAGGTGCAGTAGCGCGGCGCTCGGCCCCTGCGGCTGGTGCGGCAGCAGCACGTGTCCGGCGAGGGCCGGCTGTCGCTCGGTGGGTACCGCAGAGTACAGCACTCCCTGCAGGAAGGCGATCGTCTCCGGTACCAGGCGGCCCGACAGGCTGGTGAACTGCGCGGCGGAACGGAGCGGGGACCGGTCAGAGCTCAGCGAGCGGTGTCAGGCATCGTAATTCAAAACGAACTATAAACAGAATGACATGGGGTTATCAGCATCAGAAACTACCCGACCACCGCAGAGTGCAAAGGGGTGAGGTTAGGTCCGTCCTAATAACTAACGCACTCATCAATACGAGACTGGGGACCGCCGCACTGATCGATTTAACCCACCTCAGCCAGCAGTGAGACGCAGAAGAGGCCGGCGGTGAGCTCTCGCCGGCAGCGGACCGGGCACTCGGTGAGCAGCTGGCAGAGCAGCAACATGGCCGGCATGGTGACCGGGTGGCGGCGGTCCGAGCTCGGGAACAGCTGGCCGCAGACGCGCAGCAGCAGCAGCGTCTCCAGCCGCGGGAAGAGCCGCCGCCGCCGCCGCCGGTACGCTGCGTGACAGTCGCGCAGCCACGACACCCAGCAGCGGTGCGCCGCGTCGCCCAGCTGCTGGGTCAGATCGTACACGACCGGCACGAGCGCATCCAGCGCGCGCAGCGCCACCGCGCCGCAGCCGGCCTCACCAGTGTTTCCTGAACCGGCCGAACGGTGGCAGCACTGTCCCAGGTAGCGGAGCAGCATCTCGTACAGCGTCACCAGCTGCGCCCGATTGGCCGGCGACAGGTTCGGGGCCAAGGAGGTCACCAAATCAGCGACGTGGCGCGACTGATCCAGCGGCAGTTTGGCGCGCAGAGTCGCGCTGAACTTCTTGAAGCCAGGTAGTTTGACGGAGGGCGGCCGGTCGGAGGTGGCCTCTCCCTCCTCGCCCTCCGCCTCCTCCGCAGCCTCCCGCTGCTTCTGCAGCTTCTGCTGGCGCTTCTTGGCCTGCCGGTTGGTGAGCGGCTCGTCGGCTGCCTGTGACGTCACCAGCAGCTGGTCGCCGACCAGCTCGAGCCGCTGCTGCGGCCGGCTGTCCAGCACGAAGCCGTCGTCCAGGTCGTCGGCGCTGCGGTGCACGGCCGGCCGCGCGCCGCCCTCCTCCGTGTCGGCGCGCATGCGCTGCTGGCGGGCCTCCTCCAGCTGCCGCAGCCGGGCGGCCTCCTCTCGGCGCACCTCCTCGTCCGTCTTGGTGCGGTCCGAGGCGCCGACGCGCGGCTCGAACGTCAGCAGACGCACCAGCTGATCGTAGTCCTCGCTGGGGGCTGGCGCCGAGGCGGCGGACTCGCCGGACGCGGGAACGGGACTCGACTGGCGCTCGCGCTCCTCCCTCCGAGTGGGACCTGAAAGTCAGAATAGAGGCTTATAATTGTTGTGAACAGGCATAAAACGATACAAATACTTGTTTTTATCGTGAAAATCTTCCACATGTTCAAGTAAAATCCGATACACCGAACCAAGAACAAAGTCGCAAAACCAACCGACTCTGTTTACACAACATCAGCACCCAGTTGATCCTTGCCGATGCTGCTTAGGCTAGTCCACCCTTTTCTCCAGCGTATACTCACGTATAACCTTGGCCTCGGTGAAGATCTTCATCACTTCCATGAAGCCGCCGTCGAGCTGGTCAGTCATCTCCAGGGTCTCCTCCAGCGCCTTCCTCGCCTCGTACTTGCGCAGCTTGCTCTCGGCGATCATCTTGTCGATCCACTCTTTGCGACTCTGCGCCGGCTCGGAGCCGCCCTTGGACAGCAGGCCGCCGCCAAAGTGAGCAGACTTCACAAACTCGGCTGTCGAGGGCAGAGACACGCTCGGGTCAGGGAGTTCGCCAAATCAAACACCAGTATGACGTGACCACATCATGATGAAGCAATCTTAAGTGAGCTAATTATCAATTCACATTATCATGACATGATAAAAAACAATGTGCAATGTAAAAAACAATGATAAAAAACAATGTGCAATGTAATGACGCATCTATAAATTACGGCACGCCGCAGTCTGGGCCTTAGCTCGGTCTCCGCTCGCAACAACACTTAACAACGTGACAGCCTCCAGTGCCGATCTTCCCTCTCGAGATATCTCTCCCTCCGGCACTGCCCCTCCGGTGCCGACCGTACCTCCCAGAGCGTCGTCCCCTTCGTCGTCGCTGCGCGGGTCCTCGTACTTCTCGATCTCACTCAGCGTCTGTCCCATGTGCGTCAGCTCGGTGTTGTCCTCCAGGTTAAACAGTGTCTACGGGACAGACGGCGCGGCGGTCAGCGCGTGAACTCACAGGGGGCGTAATACCGGGCACCACGCTGGCAGGTAATTTTACTCACGCGTAAAAACAAATAACTATGTTTCATCTAAACACCAAGCTATAGATTAATACAAAAATGAATTAAATGAGTTGAATTGATCATATCTAATAAGTAAGAAGTTCCAACATTAGGAAATACGCAACAACATAGATTTGGTTTGCTTGAGTGACGACTACTTTTAAGTTTGAACCTAAGCGAATAAGCTTTTCATTGTTGCGAATACGATGCATTATCACACTGACCTGCTTATTTTGCTTTTTCCGTTCGGCAGCAAATCTTGCCGCCAGTCGATCTTCCGCGGACATGCCCTTCGTCTTCTCTCCGATACGGCGGTCGACAAATTCATTGGACTTGGTTCTGGTCTTCAGCTCACGCAAAAGTGTCAGCTTGCGCTAGACAAGGGAAAGGGCATATACATTAGTCGGTAGTCAGATGGTGAGCTTAAACCTTGAAGAAAACACAAAATATGGCCACCTTTTATCTTTTATAATATTTACAGATATTTTAAACTGATTTTTCGCAAATAGTTGTTGCATTTTTATGAGTAAAATCAGTTTTATTTATTTTGCAATAAACATTTCATCTAAAAATAAGTGAGCGCATAACAAGTTTTCCACCAACCTTCTTTAGAGCCTTTGCTTTGGAGATTCCTGGTTTTCCCCTTTCTCCAGGGAGATGCTGGCCAAGGACAGAATGTTTCTGCTTATTAAAATGGATTTCAAAGGGGTTCAGCCTTCCATCCTTTGTTTTAATGCTGGTGACTTTTTCTGCCTGGCCAGCAGCCCTCTTCACAGGTTTCTTTGCTTTGGCCATTTCTTCTGAAAAAAAAAAAATAGTCAGGAAGTGAGGAAAATATGGGTTCAGGCAGATTGAGTGTATTGACAAAGTGGATGAGCATCAACAAATCTCATTCAAAATCCCCCTAAAAAACTTGTCACATGAAATCTCCTGCAATATTTAATATATGCAATAAATATCTGACAATACCAGCAGCTAAAGATAGACCATGGATTAGGTTCATCCATGGATGGACTGAGACACTGAATATTTAATAAGAAAAAAGCGCAGCATATGAATAAATAGGTAGGAACCTTTAACCTCAAGCTTAAGGTATGTACCTGGTCAGTAAATTCACCTACAACATGTCTACACTGCCGTCTCACAACCACTAAAGATATCCACAATTTCAATGGAACTTTATTTTTTTAAACTTGCTTGGTGTAAATAATTTAATGCTAGCAGAATAGATTCTTTTAAGTGCCTTTAATGGATCCATAGTGGGACCTGATGTCCCTAAAGCCTCTCCCCTCCTAGCAGAAGCAGGGTCAACAGATGAATCTTGTATGGCCAAGTGTATTGTCTTCTAGAAGAAGCAAGTGAGTAGCATGCACCTGCAAATGAGTCATCCGTCAGGGCAAAGTCATGCGCGCAGGCAATCAGGATCAGGAAGCAGCGAAAGGTGGTCTAGCAGCATTAAGCCCTCGGCTAAATACCTATGCACTATGCAGTATGCAGAGCGCATGGGAAGATGAGCACACACATACATGGACAGAAACATACAGTGCATGGACAAACAGGCACACACACATGCACATATCTATATGCAACAATGAGCATGCCCGCATGCTGACATGCAGGCAAAGAACACGGAAGAACCATGACAATAGTAACCAACCACTCACCAGATTCACCAGATATCAGTCATAAAGAGCTTAATTGTGTTCACACTCACATCTGCCTGTGAAAATCACACTTAAATGACATGAGTGATGACAATACAAATACAAATATCCACAAAATTACCAAAATAAATGTGACCTATTCCTTGCAGGCACGTAAATTGCTACATTGACGACATATTGATATCAATTGATATTGATATGGCCTGCAAGCATTGCAAGCATCAAACGCTAAGAGTAGTATTCTATTTACGTTGCGAGACTGAACGACTTTGGCTTAATTTGCAAATGCTTTGATTTGATTTGTTCATTGATTACCACGAACCTTACAGAGATGCAAAAAGAACATAAAGAACCTCACATGGGAATTTCTTATATGTAGCAGCTGCGCCATGTAAGAAAAAGCTAGTGCTACCATATCCCAAGCAAAAATAAAGTAATTTGGCTTGCATATTTGGCTTTATGCATGTGTTGCGGGTGCGGCGGCGAAGAAATAGTGTTGGTGGGGTGCAATTAACTGGCGCGTTTACAATTGTAAATTGATAAAATACTGTGTATTTTCATATTCAAAAACACTCGTTGCACACTTAAGAACGTATGTCTATTATTAGAGGTTCTCGTTTTGTAGCATATGCCTGAAATTCCGCGAGCCTGCTTCACGATATCAATATCGCGCGCTTGTGGTGCGTGCGGTGCCGGGTGCGCCGGGTGCGGGCAAGGCATTTATAAATTATATACCGTTCAAATACCGATACGGGTGTAAAGGCGAGCCGTGTGGTGCGAAATCTCGATTTATGCACCTTATGTTACGCACAGGTCTTATGCATGCCAATTTAATTATTTATCGAATATCAGCCTTGGAACATTGGCATAATTTTTTATTTCTACATGTTTTGACTATTTCTACTTGCCGTCCTGTTGAATTGCACTTTATCACTGTTGCAGCTTTCACATCATCTTAAACTGAGCATAGGTCAAGATGCCTGGAAAAATAGATGCTGTGGGCTTTCTTATCAAAGCAATGGGTAAGTAATTCATAACCATTTCCTTGTAAGTTGTAACTGCTTTGCTGTGGTCATGTTTTTATTTTTGAAATATTTGTTGATATAAGACCCATAGGTATGTTTTATTGGTGCATGTTTGAGTTGAGAGGATATTGATATCTTAAGTGATCTCTACAGTAAGCAATTTTACTGCACTGTTACAAATTTGGAGTAAGCAATTAATGCTTGTTTAGCCCGTAAACTTGTTGCATAGTCGTCCACAATGACTAACTTTTATGGATGTGTGCAGTGGAGCGAGACCCAAGTAAGCGACGAGTCAAGCCCAGTCAGCAGGCACTGGAGGAGTTTGAGGGAATGACACTGGAGGACAGCTCAGATGACTCTGACTACAAAGTGGATGAAAAGGTCAGTTACCTACTGCTAGCGAGCAAATTACGTTTCTGTAGATATCTGTGTAGGAAGATGGCCGGCGCTTGGAGCACTGCAGTCGGCCTGCCGCGCCGTGCCGCGCAATTGTAGGCTTAGCACGCCCGAACGGGACTCCGCCGGTGCGAAACGGCCCGGTGTCATACGACGTGACCGACGCGTCCTGACGTGAACGATGTGGCCGATGCGGCCTTAGGTAAACGACGTGCCGACCAAGCGAATACCTTACCATATATGAACAATAACTTTATGGTCCTCCGGGCGACGGACGATTACGAACTGGAACGAGTGAACGATCGCGAACACGCACGAACATTTCTGGTCCTGCGGGCCGGATAACGTATCGAACGGGTGAACTGTGCGATTCTCGCGAACACCTACCACTTTGAAATGACTGCCTCTGGGGAGGCGTCAAATGGAGAGGGTGACTTAGTGCATTTCTGCTATACCTATTGCTCCAGTCAGCAAAGAAATTCAGTTTTACTATGATGATATTACGGTTAGTTGATTAATTGATGTCTTTTTATGTGTTTCTTTTTTGTTTTGTTTTTGTGTCTTAGGATGAGGACGATGACGGCGATTCCAACTTCAGCGGCGACGACGACGACGACGACGACGGCGATGCCGACAAAGACAAGGAGGAAGAGAGCGATTCAGATGAAAGCGGCGGCGAAGGTTAGCGTCGTCCGGCCGGCCGGCAGATCGGTCGGAGTCGGAGACCAATGTCTCCCCCTAATCCCTATCATCCTTCCGGCTCTGAAATGGTCTTGACTGACCAAAAGGGCCTAACCAAACAAAACAATAAAAACAAAATCAGTGATTTATATTACCTGTTGGCTATTCAAACGATTAAGCCTCGGTATCTCGTACTGTCACGCTAGTATGGCCGCGTATGAGCGTTGTCCGTGGCGTGCCGATGTGTCTGACCCCGCGCGCGCTCGTCTGCAGATGAAGGTGACGGGGAGGAGGCGGACGTCTCCGTCTCCGAGCTGCTGAGCCGCGCTGCCCGCGACGCCCCCGCTGGAAGCAAGGTGAGTCGCTCGCCGACCCCGATAACCCCGCGCCGATAAGCCGCGCTGCCCGCGACGCCCCCGCTGGAAGCAAGGTGAGTCGCTCGCCGACCCCGATAACCCCGCTAGGCAGGGTGCTCGCCGACCGCAACACCTCCACAAGATGGGTCATTCGCCCCCGGCGGACATGGTGACTGACGAGCAGGGGGACCTTATGGGTGCGAGCGAATTGGACGGATCTACTGGATTTGAATCGGCGTCTCACCGGCTTATAATACGGCCCTCGTCTGTGTGCAGGTGCCCGTGAAGCGGATCAAGGTGTGCTCCATCTGCCTCGGGGACCGCAGCTCTGACCAGAACGAGATCGTCGAGTGCGACTCCTGCCACGTCACGGTCCATGAAGGTGAGCTTGTGATACACGAGTGTATTTGGCAGCTGAGTTTTCGCTGGCCTGTTACAGATATCATCACAGGGCCTCGTAAATGACCCGGCAGTCGACGCGCCCGTCCCGATTTTACCGCGTCTTTTGGACTGACGTCTTGTCCCGTAGGTCATAATCAGTGTTGAATCACCTCTCCTCGCCGCGGTGTCCCGGCAGGCTGTAACGGGATCAGCGAGAGTCACAGCTCGGGCAGCTCAGCCTCGTCGGACCCGACCGAGCCGTGGTTCTGCGACGCGTGTCGGGCGGGCGCCACGCGGTTCGAGTGCGACCTCTGCCCCAACACAGGTCAGTAGCAGACGGCCGGTCCTGACCAGCGCCGGAAACCACGGGTGATCAATCGCAGGGATTTAAGTCTGCTCTTCATGGACAGCTGGAACGGAATGGCAAATGTCCTATTTTTGCGATGGTCCTCAGATAACAGTGAGTGTGTTTCCTCCTAGTATTCTGTCTTGGAATCCTGTCGTTCCATTCCCCGTTTCGATGGCCACATCCAGTCCGCCCCGTGTAACCGTCTGCCGGTCTCCGTCTCACCCCTCCGCGCTCCGGCAGGCGGTCTGCTGAAGGAGACGGACGCGGGCCGCTGGGTGCACCTGGTCTGCGCGCTCTACGTGCCCGGCGTGGCGTTCAGTGACGTCGACCGGCTGACGGGCGTCACCCTGTTCGAGATTCCGTACACCCGCTGGGGCAGCAAGGTGTGCTCGGTGTGTGAGGACGCCAGTCTGGCGCGCACTGGAGTGGCCATCCAGTGCGACGCCGGCATGTGCAAGGCCACCTTCCACGTCACCTGGTTAGTGGGGAGGGGTCAGCAGTGAAGGAGGGGGACGGGGATGACGGACCAGACAGTGGTGCTGCGCAGCCGGCGGCTGTTTGGATGTGAAGAGACTCAAACTTTGGTAGAATTTCAGCGAGGTGGCGACATATTATGTCATCTTTGAACAGCACCGCATCCGTGCCGTGATTTATTGCAGAATATTAGAAGTGACCAGCTTATTTGGACAGAGCATCTGCAGCAAGTGTCTAGCACTGATACTGATAGCTCATAACAATGTAGCTCGTCGGCTCCATTTCCGACAGCTGCGCTCCCTGACCGCGTGTCGTCCCTTTCGTCCGCAGCGCCCAGCGCAACGGTCTGCTGCAGGAGCCGCGCATCGACGAGGAGGCGGCCGACCCGTACTTTGCCCACTGCAAGCAGCACACCGACAAAACTCAGATCAGGTGAGGACGCTTATAAACCGAACGTTTATTGATGGCGCCCCTCAGCGGGTTGCGCCCGCTTCAGATCTATATTGGCATTGTGTCAGCGTCTGCCGGGCGCCCGAGTACAGACCCGTGTCTCGTTGACCACTGTCTCCGCTCAATGGCCGAGTGTGACCGCTGTCAATGGCGGAATCTGACCGTTACCTCCAAATACGATCAGAGTGTGATTGTTTGGAGCTGACCCAACGTCCCCGTCGACAGAGACCGCAAACGGAACTTCCTTGCCATGCGGCTATACCAGCGCGGCGAGCACCCGCACAAGATGGAGCCGGCGCGGCTGCAGCGCAAACTCGGCCGCGTCCAGCAAAAGTATCGAGACACGGCGCTCACCAGGAAACCCAAGTGGAGTGAGTACCGGTCGTAGACGTGAGCCGCGGTCGATAGTGTCGGTAAAGACGGTTGTTGGACTGGGTGGATGTGACGAATGAGATAAATCGCCCTTTGTCTGTCGCTGCCCGTCAATTCATTTGCATTGAACGTTATGTGTATTGTATGTAATTCTCGTCTCGTCTGTATATTCTCATCTGACCCCGTTTGACGCCTCTGCCCGTGCTCTCTCTGCCTGCCCTCATCTAACGCCGGCCTGTCCTCTGTGTGCGGCAGCGCCGTCGATGAAGCTGCCGCGGCCGGTGGCCAGCAGTCCGTACCTGCTGCGCTGTTTGCAGCGGCGCGCCGCCCTCATGGGCGTCGACCTGGAGCAGGAGAACCAGGCGGCCGCCGCGCAGGTCACCGACGTCAGCAGGAAGTGGCACCTGCCGCCCGCCTTCAGGTCAGCCGGTGCCCACACTGGGGAACTTTGTATTCAGTCGGTCAGGTCAAGTCACAGAACGGCCAATGGGGTCGGGAACGATTGACCAAATAGTTGGCGCTTTACCATCCGTAACCGCACTTGTTTTTGTGCTAGTCGCAATGTGAGGCTGCCAGCCGGGTTCTCTGGGCGGCTGTGTTCACATTATGCGATGTCTGCCTTCCCCCGTGGTGACGTGGGTCCGGTGGCCCAGTGGTTGACATCCCCCTTTGGTCCGGCCAGTATGGAGTTTGTCAGCTACTTTCTGGACCGGAGCCACCGGATGACGACAATGTCCCGGTCGCTGAAGGAGCTGATGAATGAGAAGGCGGCGCTCCAGAGGCAGGAGAACACACTCAGGGAGTCGTACGCGCAGGTGAGGCGGACTTAGCCAGAACCACCTAACAAAGCCTAGATATGAAGCGAAATAATCAGTTCAATAATTAATTTGCCCTCAGAAAATCAACACCTATAGCGAAATCATTTGCGATTGTGTAATCACTTATAGACGTTTGATAATAGGTTGAGGTCATTTTGGGTTTCAGCACGGTTTCGCATAGAGGCTGGACATGTCGTCCGTAACTCGCCAGTCGCCTGGCCTTCCGCGCTGCCCGTGTGTTCCCATCTGACCACGTTCCGGACCGGACCACCCGCAGATGGAGGCCGGTCTGTCGGAGCTGCGCCAGGCCGGCGAGCAGCTGCGCTCGACCGGCCTGCTGCTGCACCGCCAGCTGGCCGCGCTCGCCGGTGACAAGCTCAAACTGCCCTCCGTGCTGCAACAGGCGCGCGTCCGCAAAACGTCGACCGGCCGCGCCAGTCCGCTCAAACCGTCACCGACCAAACTCGCCGGCCATCGTGAGTGTGGGCCGTGGGCTGGTACTACTGGCGTGCCACTCTTTCTACATGGATGAACTGTGCATGCATGGACTGACATATGACAACGAATTTCTTATGCATTCGTTATTAGGTTTGATGGCCTATTTTGCTCCGTTTTTTCAAATGTTTAAGGTGTATCTCGGGTGAGCGCCGTTAGACCATTTTAGGTGGTGTTTCTGGCTCCCTACCCCGGTTTAACCATAACCATTTCAGCTGCCTGTGTCATGTCCCACCCTTCTACCCTTCTAATCATACCGCTTCACCCTGCCTCAGGCCCTGGCAGCCGCCTGACCATGCACGAGTGTATCGAGTGCGGCTCGAGCAGCGAGCAGCACCTGCTGGCGCTGTGCGACACGTGCCACCACCACTACCACCTGGCCTGCCTGGACCCGCCGCTCTCGCGTATGCCCAGAAAGTCAAAGACGACCGGCTGGGAGTGCTGGCGGTGCGCGGCGGTGAGCTCGCGGGCCCAGTCGCCCGATCCGCTACCGGACGCACCGCGAGGCACCCGGAACCGGCGCTCTCGACAAGCGGCCGCCGTCAATATGCAGGTCAGGAGTGGGGTGTGTGGGAATCGAAGGTCTCGGAAGTGCTACTGAGTCGAGGGACACCAGCGGAATTTGGGCCGGGGATTTTAGTTGGACGGCGGGTACCAGCTGATAAAGTCGGGTTAAGTGTGTTGTGCTGGTCGGTTGGTTGCACATTCGTACTTACCTTTGACTGCCAGTTAAATACCCAGGAGCGCGTGTAATGCGCGACCTTTCATTGTTCAGCATTGTGTACTATAGAGCCCAGACTTCCCCAGCCGGCCTGACCGGTCCCACTGCTCCCCCGGCAGCCCCAGGTGAAGCTGGAAACCCACCTCGGGCTGGACCGGCCAGCGCCGACCACCCCGCGCCGCTCCCTCTCCGTCTCTGCCGCCACCACGCCCGCCTCGGCCATCGGCGACGACGGCACGCCGAAAAAGAAGCCGGTCCGCAGCGTCTACCTGCGAAAGGACATCAAACACCCGGGGGTGGGGAGGGGCAACGCGCCGCGCGCCAAACGGAAATTGGCGGCGGCGGCGGCGGCAGCCGGCGCTACGCCGGTGGCTGCTCATGAGCCTGTGTCTGCGCCTGCCGCTGCTGCTGCTGCGACTGCGGCGGCGGCTGGTAATGCTGCAGATCCCGCCGGCCAACCGCCACTCAAGGTGCGTTAGATTGAACTGTGCTTGGCTCAGTGTGACTGTAAGCGCTGTAGAAACGCCTGATAGGGTCAATCCGATCCTTTTCCGTTAAACAGTTTCGGTGAAGTATCTGTGTAGATCGCTGCGGTGCAGTCTGTGCGTGAGTGAGTGCTGCGACATGTGGAGGTCTTACTGGTGTGCCGCGCAGTGTCGCCCCGTCGCCGGCCGCTGGTCGGTCGGCCGAGCAGCGCTGGTCATTCGACCGTGTCCTCCGTTGCAGACGAACGTTCGTCTGGGCGTGAGAGACGCGATAACGGTCGACGACCGACGCATATCGCAAGTGATGGCTAAGGTAAACGTCCGCCCGTTTTCTGGCTGTCTGTCCGTGTGTAGTTGCACGTCTGTCTGGTGTTAGAAGCTGTCACTTCCTCTCCTTGGTGTCCCGGTGAGTCTCAATGGCGGGGATGATCTCTCGTCTGACGGCTGTTTCTCCCCCGCAGAGTGAAGCGGCCTGCTCCTCGGTCGTGGTTATAGAGAAGCTGAACGACGCCATGGTCTCCCAGCGAGAGCCGCCCACCAGCCCGACCGCCAAACGGCGCAGGTCGAGGACAGATTCCCCCGCCGCCGCCGCTCCCAACAGCGCTTCCACTGCCGCCGTGACCAACGCCTCAGCCACCGCCGCCACCGCCACTGACGGCGGCGCTACCGCCCCGGCGGCGGCCTCTGGCAGCGGCGCCGCACTGTCTCCGGGCCGCCCCCGGCGCTACAGCAGTATCGAGTCAACCATAGACGGTATTCTGGAGCAGGTGTCGGCGGACCCGAGCGGCGGGCCGCCCACGCCGCCGCCGTTCGTCTACAGTGGCCGTGGCCGGCCGCCGACCCTTGAGCCGCTCAAAATAAAACGGCGCGGCCGGCCGCCCAAGTCGCCCAGGGTGGAGCCCACAGCGCACAGCCCGGTGGCGCCGGAAGCTCCGGCCTTGACGGAGTCAGTGGCGGCGGTGGCGGTGGCGACAGCGGCAGCGGTGGATACCGCGCCGCGCCGGGGCCGACCGCCGGGCTCCCGCGGGCGGGGCCGGCGGGTCTCGGTGCCCGGCGCTCGGCCGCTGGGCCGACCGCCAGCCGCGGCCACCGCCGGGGGACCGCCGGCCGTGGCCACCCCCGGCCGGCCACCGGCCACAGCCACCCCGGGCAGGCCGCGCGGCCGCCCGCCCGGCCGACCGTTCTCAGTGCGCACCCCAGGCAGACCGCGAGGGGGTGGCGCGCGCCGCCGCACCAAGGCACAGATCGAGGCCCTCAACCAGTTTCTGGCTCGGCGCCGGGCCGAGAGGCAGTCCCAGTCGGAGGCCTCGTCAGCGGAGGGCGGGGCGACCGGGAGCGCTCCGCCACCGCCTCCGTCTCAGAATGGCGAGCACCCCCCACCGGCGGCGGCTGCCGACGGAGCCGAGCCGCCGCCGGCCGCCGCCGCTACTCTGGCCAGACCCACGCCTGCCAAACGGCCAAGGTTTAAACCGGGACCGAAGGAGCGCGCCAGGCTGAAGGCAGCCAGGGCGGCGGCCGGTGACGGGCCCGCCGGCGGACCTGTGGGGGCCACCGGCCCGCCGCTGAAGAAGCCCCGCCGCCGGCGGAGAACCAAGGCCGAAATGGAGGCCGCCCGGCTGCTGGAGGCTCAGAAGGACGGTGCGGAGCCGCTGCCGGTCCCTGCGGTGGACGCGGAGCCGGTACCCGCCCCTGCGGTCGCTGCTGAGGGTCCCGGGGCCGCCGCGGACGGGCCGTCAGCAGCTGCTCCCGCCGCCGGCCTGCCGTCGCCGTCCAGCTCCGGGCGGCCTGCCCGCCAGCGGCGCACCAAGGCCGAGATGCAGCTCTACCAGGAGCAGGTGCTGGCGCTCAAACAGGCGCGAGAGCGGCACCAGCAGCAGCGTCAGAAGGTGCTCGCCAGGCGCCGCCGCTCGAGTGGAGGCCACGTGGTCGAGGTGATGACCGACATGAAAATCAAGGTAGGTCGCCGACAGTCTCAGACGGGACCAGTTCCATAATCGTTTTAAATGTTTCCTATTGCTGTATCAACTTATGTAGCCAAATGTATACCGCCTGATTGATGATTGTCGTATAGACGATATATGTGCTGTGTAACGGTTCTTGGTAAAGGGTGCTAGTTTTTGTCTGGTTGGTTTGGTTCCTTTGTGGGCGGCTGGTTAGCCTGTGCGTTTTATATGTGCGCAGGCTTGCTTCGCTCGCCGGTGCAGTGGTTCGGGCCTGGCCTACGTGGCAGCGGTCGCAGAGGGGTGTGTCACCGGCGTGTGTGCGCTTCCGGCCGCCTGTCTCCGTGCACCGCTGACTCCGTCTGTCCCCGCCAGATTCGTCCTGTGGTATCAGAGGCCGGGCCGGCTACTGCCCCGTCACCGGTAGCCGCGGCGGCGGCGGTGGTCTGCTCCAACTGCGAGCTCGCCGGCAGCGCGGCGACCACAGTCCGGTGAGTGACCCGCGCGCCTACGTGAGGAGTGACAGGGGAGGGGTGTGGTCGGCCAGTCCTGGCGCTGTTCTGTACTTGTGCTGAGTTGTAGCGCGCCATATGTCACCCATGTGGCAGGTCGTGCAACATGTGGCTAGGACATGGGCGCAAAATGACCTCAGTAGTCGGCGCGCCCTAAAGCCCCAATTAACAAAACAAATGTGACTAAGAATGAAGATGGCTATTGTGTAAGGTTGTTGCTCGTCTTTGTATCGTGAATGGTCGGTAGCAAAGTCACCTCAGTCCTGTATTTTAAGGACCATCTGTATGGAGCCACGGGGGTTCATATCGCACTCACTGCGCGTGGTGACCGTTATCCGCCCGTCTTCAGGTGCGACAACTGCGGCAGCTGCTACCATTTCAGCTGCCTGGTGCCGCCCGTCTCCAAGACGCCCAAGAGGCTCGGCTACGGCTGGTTGTGCGGCAACTGCAGCGGTCGCGGCCGACCCCCCGCCAAGGCGTTCAAAGCCGAGCCGCCCTCTGCTCCCGCCGCTGCCGCCGCACCTGATGCCGCCGCCGCTGCCGCCCCGGCCCCGGCTCCGGACCCAGTCCCGACTCGGGTCAAGGCTCCAGCAGAGGCGCCAGCGGAGGCGCCGGTGGAGGTACCGGTGCCAGCCAAGGAGCCCGCTCCGCAGTCCTGCCCTCCGCCGCCGCCGCCGCCGTCCGCGCCGCCCTCCGCCGAGCCGGCCGGCGGTGAGGTGGAGCGGCAGCCGCAGCAGCAGCGGAGGGAGACGACTGCTCAGCCATCAGCGACACCGGCGGCAGAGGCCAAGGTGGACCCGCCGCCGGTGACCGAGTGACTGTAACGGACTAGGAGGGGTCCGGGTCGGCCCCAGGCTGTGTGGAGAGGTGTAACGGGCAGACCCGCAGCGTACTGTAGATCGGTGGCCTGGCGACCCAGCTCGCCTGCGACAGGGCAGCTGTCAGTGATTCCTCATCTTTCCTATCATGTCTGTCCGATCCGGTGCTCGGCTGACTGACACCGGCGACGTGTCGTCTGCCGCTGTGGCCGGTCGTGGAGTCCGTCGGCTGTGTTGGTGTCGCTCAGAGCGCTGCCGCGGCGCTGGGGCGCCGGTCAGGCAGGTACTGACTTCACACCGTGCGCGTCTCAGCCAGCCACCGCTGCCGTCGTCGTGCGAAGCTGCATCGACGTGCAGGTAGTGTCGAACTGGCAGGGTAGGATGGAATGGGCACTTTGTGTCATGTTTCGCTCCGCCTGTCAGACTCAACGTTCCATCATTGTTTACTCCAGACGGATGTCTTTGATTTGTGTGCCGTAGCGAACAGAATGCCTCTTTCAGTAGCGTATTAAATGTATTTATGCATGTTTTGTTGTTAATAAAAGCAAACGTTCTATTCTTGTGTTAGTCTGCTGCACGCTACCATAAGCGAGAATATTACGCCTTCAGTGAGCCTTTCGGTGCTTATTTCACATCATCACGTCACAGCTTTCGTATCGAAGGTGATTTCCCAGCCGTTTGGTTAACTAACAATTCGTCCGTTCGTCCGTCAGATTCCACTGTTTCCAACCGATACGTCAAAAATCGACCTCTGCACTCTGTTGACGTAACTGATCGCCCGCCTTGATCGCAGCCGGCGGTCTAGCTGCGACCAACAACGGCTCGCTCCGGTCACGGTCGGCGGCTCGCTCTGATCTCTCGACCCACTGTGCTAGTTAGAGCCGAGATCGCTCGCCAGTCGCCGGGGCTATCCCCGTCCGAACAGGTTCGGCCCGTAACGGCCGCCGCCTGTCGAAACCGACGGTGACGGCTGCTGTCGGCAGCGACGGACCTGCCGAATTCGGGTCTGGTAGTGTAAAGGGACTGTGTACAAGTTGTGGGTTAAAGCGGCGACGCAGAGCAGCTGGCGTTGGAAAACACGCAAGATGACTGAAATTTTCCGTCTCAATCCGACGCCGTGGGCCATCCGTCGGCGTCAGAGGCGTCAGCTGCTCCGGTCGGGCGCGCGCCGGTCTCGTCGGAGGCGGCGGCGGCAGCTCGGAGCCGGCCGGTGGCCAGCTATAAATACCGCGCACCTCTTCCGCCGCCCTCGGCTCGCGCCGCGCGCTGCGGCGGCCAGTGCGTGTCGAGTGTCGGAGCAGCCATGGACGGCCCCACGTGCGCCGGCCCTCAGCCGTTCGGCGAGGACGCCTTCTCCACCTTCTACGACGGTGTGTGCGCCGAGGTGCGCGCGCTGGGCATCGAGCAGTTCCGCGCCGAGTTCGACGCGCTCGACACGGACTCGGAGCGCGTGTCGGCCGTGCTGCGGCTGGAGAGCGCCGGCCGGCTGCGGCTGCCGACCGCCAGCCGCACCGGCAAGTCGGAGCAGCAGACGCGCAGCTACCTCGAGATGGCCATGAACTGCACCGACTCGAGCCGCAAGCTGGTGCTGTGTAACACGGCGCTGCAGCACTGTCCGGCGCCGGCGGCCGGCGCCGCGCCGTCCGAGCTGCACCTGGCCGTCCTCCTCAACCGGCTGTGGACCGTGTACGAGCTGGGGCGCTTCTCCAGCGGCCTGGCCGAGGCGCAGCGGCTGCTCGAAGAGCCGGCGCTGGCCGCCGCGCCCGTGGAGACGCGCGTCCAGCTGCTGGTCGAGCGCGCCCGCTTCGAGGCGGCGCTGGCGCACCGGCCGGCCGCCGAGGCCAGCGTGCGCCAGGCGCTGCAGATCGTGCGTCAGCTGGAGCGCCAGCAGCAGGCCATGTACGCCCGCGAGCTCGGCACCATCCGCAAACGGCTGACGGACGCCGAGCCGGCGCAGGCGGACAGCTCGGCGCCCGGGCCGCCGCCGGCGCCGCGCCTGTTCGCCGGCGAGCACGAGCGGCTGCGGCGCGTCTCGTCCGCCGTGGAGCTGGTGACGAGCGAGCGGCGCGGCCGGCACCTGGTGGCCACCACCGACATCCCGCCCGGTGAGCAGCTCCGCGGGGATGTGGGGTACTGGGCTCCCGCTGGGGTATGGGCAGGCCAGAGTCATAGCATGCAACTGGGGCACCCTGCTTCTACGCTTGAAAGCATAGGATGGTCAAACAAGTGCACAAAATTGCCGCATGTCATCTCACACACATGAATCCCAGGCTAACTAGTAACAGCGTGGGCTGAACAGACATCACCACCACCACGCCTCCCGGCCGATTGGGCGGGCTGCCAGCGCCCGGTGCACTGCCAGGGCAGACCTGCACCCTGCACACGACAGGGAAAAATGAGCCCGGCGCGACTGACCACGCGCCCTAGTTAGTGATTCGCCCGCCCACTCTTCATAGGCACCACGCTTGACTCACTAACGTGACACTCAAAACACAGGGAGACACTCCACTTGAGTCGCACCATAGTCACGCTGGCCAGTCGAGCCGTACCGCCGCCGCCGTTCCGCCGAGTACGGGTTCTGACATGCTGTCTCTCCGCAGGTTCAGTGGTGATTGCCGACGAGCCGTTCGCCTGGTCGCTGCACCCGCCGCGGTGGACGACCCACTGCCAGCACTGCTGTCGGCCGGCCGACTGTCCACTGCCCTGTCCCAACTGCGCCTCGGTTAGTGATATGGGATTACACGATATGGGAATGAATGAATGTGAATGATGGGCTGTGGATTGAATGATGGGCTGTGGATTGAATGATGGGCTGTGGATTGGGGGCTTCTGAACCCTCAACATAGCAGCTGAATCGGCGAAGCTGAGGGAAAACGATTTAAGGGAATTGAATAATGTTGAATGCCTACCAGCTGGTACGAAACATACGGATACTAGAGGACAAGCGATGTCGTTTCTTCAATACTTGGATCTTATCGCACAGTGGCTTTGCTCATTGTCTCACGATTGTTCATTCGGTCCCCTGCTCCGCCCCAGTTGGTGCCGTGGCGGACGAGGCTGACTCCCGTGTCTCTGTCACAGGTGCTGTTTTGCAGCGAGCCGTGCCGCTCCGAGGCGCTGCGGCTCTACCACGCCACAGAGTGTCCCGTGCTCGACCTGCTCATCGACCCGAACCTGGGCCGCATGGCCCTGCTCGTGTTCCGAGTGCTGGCGCGCGCCGGCCCCGAGGCCCTGGAGAGGGCAGAGGAGCTCGACTCAGAGTCCGCCTCGGACGTGTACGACTCGCTGGCGTACGAGGCAGTGCACGGTCAGGTGACCAACACGGCCGACCGGCCCATGGGTGACGTCATCAAACGGTGCGCCGTGGCGCTGTACCTGACCGCCTGCCTGCAGCGCGCCGGGGTCGGCAGCGCGGAGCGCCGGGTGGCCGCCGCCGCGCTGGCGCTCCGACACCTGCAGAGCTGCTCCTGTAACGCCTACGAGATCACCGAGCTGCGGCTGGGCGGCGGCGGCGCGCGGCTCGCCGAGTTTGAGGAGCTCGGCGGCGCCGTGTACGCGGCCGTCTCGCTCACCAACCACAGCTGTTTCCCGAACGTGGTGCGCTCGAGTCGCGGCCGCGGCGTCACCGTGACCACCACGCGGCCGCTGCGCGCCGGCGACGAGCTGCTCGACAACTACGGCTTCCACTTCCACGAGGAGGAGGAGACGGCTCGGTACGCAGCGCTGCGCCGCCAGTACCAGTTCCACTGCGAGTGCGCCGCCTGCGAGCAGGGCTGGCCCCTGTACGCCGAGCTGGCCGACGGCGCGCCCCCGGGCGCCGAGCAGCGGGCTGCCGTCGAGCTGCTGGTGCTCGGACGGTACGCCGAGGCGGCCGCACGGCTGGCGCCCGTGGTGGCCGCCGACGGTGCCGGGGAGCCGAGCGCGCCGCCCGACAAGCAGGCCGTGCAGCGGCAGAGTCTGTTCATCAGGTGCATACAGAGCACGGGTAACATCAGCGTCGAGTGACCGGCAGGGACGGACAGAGCAGCTAGTCAGGAGCAGCGTGCCGCTGGTCCCAACTGGGCCGCATGGCATCAAGGTCCGATACTGGTGACTGCAGCGAACCGACTCATGAACACCTACGACTCGTTATTTGTTACAAGTAAGACAAACATTTCATAAGTTTATTAGGCCAATCATTGAGTATTAATAAAACTAACAACAAGCAGTCTCCATTAATTGTCCCATGCAGTCAATGATAATGTGGCAGTGGTGACTGGTGACGATGATGATGAAACAGGTACTTCGCATTGCAGCGTAGACATATGGCATGAGCATAACACACGTATTGGAACACATCACAGAGATCAATCAGAGCTAGTCATTGGTTAGTTCATCCAGCCGCCGTCCCGGGAGGGCGGTGTGAGGCGTGCCAGCCGGGCCAGCACCTCCTCTGCAGAGCTGTGCAGCCCGCCCCGGCTGCCGCCGCCCCCGCCGGCGGCGGCCGTCGTCTCCCGGTGAAAGATGAAGTTGAGGTCGCGCCGTATCCGCTCCATGGTGGCCTGTTGGTTGTCGCCGCCCAGCAGCGGGGAGACGCCGCGCGCCGACAGGCCGCCGCCGGCGCCGCTGTCGGGCCGGCCCAGCGACGAGAGCCGGCCCGAGTCGGACCAGCCGCCGGCCGTCGGCGGGCCCCGGTCCGGCTCCAGCCGCCGCTCGGCCGTGTGAGAGCGGAACGTCGAGGGCTCGGCCGCCGGCGGCGGCGGCGCGGACTGCTTGGTCCGGCCGGCGTCCGGCAGAGTGCAGCGCTGCAGCGCCTGGGTGACCTCGAGCCGCAGCTGGCCCCAGGTCCGGTGGAAGACCGATATCTCCTGCAGCACGCGGGCCAGCTCCTCCCCGCTCACATCGGTCTGGGTGGCGGCGGCGGCGGCCGGCGGCCGGGCGCGCGCGGCGCCCTCGCGTGCCAGCATCACCTTCTCCTTCATCTTGCCGACGGCCACGCGGTACTCCGCCTCGAGCCGGCGGAACTCGCCGTCGTAGTGCTGCTCGCGCTCCTTGACGTAGCCGTGGTAGTTGCGCAGCTTCTCGCGACTCTGGCGCAGACTGTCGCGCAGCTGGTCGGACTCGGCGTCGGCCTTCTGCAGGCGCGACTCGAGCTCGGCCAGCCGCTCGCGGTCGCCGCTGGCCGACTCCGCCGTCAGCTGCTGGATCTGGGAACGCGCCACGGATAAACTGTACAAATGGCGGCCGGCTCTCAAACACAGTGCATGGACGGGAGTGCGGGTGACGCTACTGTAGCTCCGGTTGACAGTAGCGATTAAAGGTAGTGTGCTAGCTTTCTTGGACCATATGGAGTTAATGACCCGGATAAGGCGAACCGGATTTTTAGAACTTATCCATACCTTCAAAACTCATGGAAACATCTTAAATTCTTCAAATTTTGAGTACCCCAGTGCGAAATTCGCCCCGACGGGTTGTCGGTCGTACCCCAACCACATTTCACACCACTATGAACAATAAATGCACACACTAAAATCGTTATTACCGATAGGCTCATCCAATCAAGTTTCGATAAACCCG